TTTCCTGGTAATCTCTTTGGATCTGTTTCATGTATTCTAGATTTTGTTTATATTCTTCATCACAGGTTTCTCTTTCTTTTCTGAGTTCCTCCATTCTTTCATCTGTGTATTCTTGGGAGGGGCTTATTGTTTCTTTAATTAATCTTTTATATCTTGCCACACTTGAATCAGAAGTACAGTTTTAAATTCGTCTATGAGGTCACAAAGGTATTTCTTTATGTCTGCAGATGCTCCTGTCTAATATTGCATGATTACTGCACTAGTTCTCTTCTGTATTTACCTCTCCTGGGCTTATTTTCCCATGGTCAGCAGCTGAAGGTTTTTAAAATTTCTATCTCTTGTCATGTTTCTGGCGTTTTCAGGCAAGAGTGTCCTGGGGGTCTCTGGCCCTCTCCATATTGTTTAGGGTCTTTCTGAAGCATGCTGACTGGTGTTTTGCTGCCTTCCTAAATTTGCTGTTATCTGAGGTACACACAGGGATACAGGGATGGTGCAGGCTAGGCTCTAGCCTCTGAGCCAGTCGACCTGCAATTTCCTTCAGAGACTTAGGCTATACCTTGTGCATGTCACAGAGTTGTGTCCTTTTTTTCCCTGTCTACTGAGTCCCAACCAGAGGCATAGCTCAGTCCCAGCAGAGCCCACCAATCCTCTCTGCGTCAGGGGCAGCTGACTGATGCCCCTGCGGCGCCGGGCTCTGCCCAACTCCAAGACGTCCTCCAGCCAGCGACCCAATCCCCAGCCAGAAATTCTGCTATTGGTTTTATATCCTCAGTAGATAAATGCAGTATGCCAAAGTAATATCTACATTTCAATAATTACTGTGGCACTGTTTACATTAGACAAGATATGGAATCATCCTACGTGTGTGTTGATGGATGAGTGAATATAAAAAGTGCAGTACATATACACAGTACATATCTACATGCATGAGTCTGGAGGACATGATATTAAAGAAAATAAGCATCAGACAAGAACGACAAGAAATGCATTTCTTACTCATATGAGAGCTAAAATAGATCTCATAGGACATTAAGGTGGTTAGCAGAAGCTGGGAAGGGATGAAGGAAGGAATAATGCATAGATATAGGTTAACAGAGACAAAATCAGATAGAAGAGTGAAGTTCTCTTGTTTTATAGCCCAATATGGTTACTATAATTAACAATAATTTAAAATACACTTCAAGACCACTTCAAGAGATGATTTTGTATCTTCTCACTAAAAGGAATTGTAAGTATTTAAAGTGATAGATATGCTAATTATTGAGATTTGATTACATATTATAAACATGTATTAAAATCTCACATTTTGTTATATAGATATGTATAATTATTACATGTTAATTAAACTGTAAGAGTACTCTGGTTGGTGGCTTTTGGTTAAAAAGTTGTTTTATTCTTTATAATTTCTAAACAATTTATATTTTGACTATTTGAGTGTCTTTTTCATGTTAAAATGGAGTTTGTGCTATGTGAACACATATCCATGTATGAATTTTTACTCTCCTAGTACATGAACATATATGCATATATATGTATGTTTTAAGTTTTCTCATGTCTTTTCCCTCTAGTTGTACTCTCTTGAGGTAACTAATGTTAACATTTTGATATAATCCATTTTGGCTTTTTTTGTGTCAAACAAGTGTATACAGTTTTACCAAGCAAAGTGAGAATAAATAGCAATTTTTGTTAATTTACTGGTGCATTGTTATTTCTTATCTAGTTGTCCTTCTTTTCAGAGTACTGTTGTTCCACGTCCTTTCATTTTCTGTTTTTATTTTTTACTAGTACATGCTTATATTACGTAATGATTACATTCCTTATGGGGAGTTGATATGTGTTATATATATATATATATACACACACACACACATATTCTTAATTCTTTTCTTTATCCCTTTTCCTTCCTTTACCTACCTCCTTATTCCTTTCCCATGTGTACAAAATCTATCTCCCTACCTCCTGTTTTCTCTTTCATTTTACATTATATATATCTATGTCTATATCTATATCTATCTCTATATATAAATCTGTCATTTGTATTTATCATATAAGAGAAACCCTGTGGAATTTAGACTTGTGTCTAATTTGTTTCACCTAACATTATGATCTCAAGGTGCATCTACTTTCTTTAGAATGATTGAAGTTTATCCTTCTTTATCTCAGAGTAGTACTGCATTGTATATAAATGCCACATTTTCTTTATCCATTGATCTGTTGATGGACATATAGACTAGTTCTATGATTTAGCTATCATGAATTGTGCTGTGTAAGTGTGGATGTGTGTATACCACTGTAACATGATAACTGCTACTCTTTTGGGAAGATATCTAGTTGGGGAAATGGCTGGGTCAAATGGAATTTCTCATTATGGTTTTTAGAGGAATCTCCATACTTGCTTCCATAGTGGTACCAATTTGCAATCCCTCCAGCAAGGTAGAACAGTTACTTTTCCCCCACGCCTCGCCAGTATTTGCTATTGTTTGATTTTTTGATAATAACCATTTTTTCTGGAGTGAGATAAAATCTTAGTGTTGTTTTAATTTGTATCTTTCTGATGGCTAGCAGTGTTGGATGTGTTTTCATGTACTTACTGGTCATTTGTATTTCTTCTGAGATATATTTATTCTTTTCAGTTGTTCATCTTCTGCTTGTGTTTCCCTATGTTCTTATTGACCCTGAAAATTATAAAAAATTATTATTAAGTTTCAGTAATACAATTGGTAAATCCATTGAGTTACTTTTTTTTAAAGATTTGCTTCATATATTGTGGACATCAATGTCTGATGTCTGTATTTCATCTTATAAAATGCCATTTTTTTCTGATTTTGTGTTGTCTTTTCCATTAAGAAAAACTTACTTTATACAATTAAAATCTCCCTTGAATATGTGTATATCTTTCAGTATCTACCCTCCCATTCTTCCCAAAGTGCCTGTGTTCATTATCTGTAATTTCTTTTTACCAATTTTCTTTTCCTAAAAAGTGGATTTTCTCCCTAAAAAAGTTTTAAAAAATAGATTTAAATATGAGATACTCATCCAGAGATTGTCTTCATATCCTTGATGTGTCAGAGGCATTTGATACAATTCATCCCTGCCTCTGTCTGGTTTTGTGTCTGTCTCTCTCTCTCTCTCCCTCTCTGGCTCTGTCTGTCTCCATCTGTGTCTCTTTTTCTCTGTCTTTCAGCATTTGCTTCATCACTAAACTTTTAGAATTCCTCTCCTTTTTTTCTTCTGTCATCTTAATGCTCTTATTTGCTAGGTTCCTTTTTTGGTTCCTCCTCAGCATACCATCTGTGTTAATTCATCTCTGTTAGTTGCTTAGGTAATCACCATGTCTTCAGGCTTTCAATATGATCTACATGCCTATGATTTTTATGTCCATTATTGACCTCTCTTCATCTCAGACTTATAGATGTAATGTCTTCCCTATACATCCTCTTGAGTATTTATTAACAAGATGTACCTTATCTTAAGTTTGTCATATTTTATTTCCAAAATTACATTTTATTTTTAAAATTGAAATTAGATTTATTTTAATTGATAGGTTAAAAATTATATCTGATATGATACCATGTGATGTTTCAATACTTTTATATATATATTGTGTAGTATCAATTCATTAAGCATATCTATCTCCTCATATATTTATCATTTCTTTATCACAAATCATTCAAAGTTCTTTTACCTTTTTGAAATGTACATTATTGTTGTCTAGTCATCCTCTGTTCAATACCTTCTATTTTCTATCTAACTGTAATTTAGTATCTACTGATTAATCTTTCTTCATTCCTCCTTCTACCTTACTCTGTACTTTCAACCTCTGTGAGATCAATATGCTTTTGGAATCTACATATGAGTGGAAATCATGTAATCAGGTTTCTCTGTACTTGGTTTGTTTCAATTAATGATCTATAGTTCTATCCATGTTGTCAGAAATTGTACGCTTTCCTTCTTTTTATGGCTATTATGTATATGTGCCACATTTTCTTTATATATTTGCCAGCTGATGGACCTTTTGTTTCTATTTGTTGGCTGTTGTGAAGAAAGATGTCCCTTCAACATGCTAATTTCATTTCCTTTGGCTGTACACCCAGGAGTGGGATTGCTGGATAGCATGCTAGTTCTGTTTCTAATCTGTTAGGGGAATCTCCTTAGTTTTCCATAATGGTTGTGCTAATTGCATTCCCACCAACAGTGTGGAAATGTTCCCTTTCCTCCACATCTTGATTTTCTCTCTTTAAAATTGCTCCTCCAAGAATCTCTTATCGAAATCAATAAACAGCACTTACTTTCTACTTGTGCAAGTTAAAAAAGGTATATTCAAAAGCTCCGACTCCACTGTTTTTTGTTTATTTGTATTCAACATCAGCAAATTCTGTCAGCTGTACTTTCCAAGTATGTATAGGATAGAAATACTTTCCACAACATCTAGCACAACTCTCTGTTTCAGTACTAACAATTCTATAGATTATCACAGTAGCTCCAAAGTGACTTCTCTGATCAGCCCCCTTTTAAACTCCTACCTACCCATCCCTTTTAACTGTTGAATATCCTGTTGTGGTTGTACCATAGGTTTTTTCTCCTCCATTGTTTATAGTTTCTGATGCTAATATAACCATTTATTTGTCGTTGGTTAAAGAGAGAAGGGTTTTTTGTTTTGTTTTTTGGTCTGTGCTCATTCATAATTCCAAATTGTTGACTTCTTCAGCTCCAATGCTGGGATACATCAGACAAATCAGAACTTCAAGGAACTCATTATCATATTGTTCCTGGGATCCTGAGTTCCCTAGCTGTTTTTTTTTTTGGTCTTCTCATTCAAACGTTGTTGTTTTTTTTTCACTGTAATATTTTAATTTTCTCCACATTTTGTGATAATATCTGCTTGTATTCAGTGGGAGGAGTGGGAAGAGTATATCTACTGACTTTGGGGACACAGAGGTCACTTCTTTCGGTTTTGAACTGTATTTTCAATTTGTCCCCTGGGGCTCTTTTCTTTGCAGGTACCTGGAATTGGAAAGCAGTGGTCATCGGAATGAAATCAGACTTCACTACCGCTCAGGCGGTCACCGTCCACACACAGAAGTGTTTCCTTACATTTTGGCTGATGACAAGTGGCACAGGCTCTCCTTAGCCATCAGTGCCTCCCATTTGATTTTACACATAGACTGCAATAAGTAAGTATGAAATGAACTCATCTCAGTAAATGGAAGGTTCTCTGAAATGGCTGTTTATCCAAATTCCTTGTCTGATGTTTCTCTTTTACAGAATTTATGAAAGAGTGGTCGAAAAGCCTTCTACAGACTTGCCTCTGGGCACAACATTTTGGCTGGGACAGAGAAATAATGCACATGGGTATTTTAAGGTATCTATTGGGTACAGTCTGCATGTAAAGTGTACATGTAAATGCTTTCTATTGAGCCTAGGAAAAACATAACTTTCTATGGTGTGAAACAAAATTGATTTGTATAGGTTTTTATCTGTGTATTTTTTTCTATTTCTGTTTTTCACTTATGAGAGGGCAAGATAGCTTCTCAGTGAGTTTGATTTTTTAAGCATTATAGACATGATCACAAGGCTGCATTTGGGGCAGTTAACATTTCATTCTTGAAAGTAAGCATTCAATGTAATAAAAAGCTAACACGTTAACATACAAATAAACTCTTCATGACTGAAATGTAACCTTTGGTGAGGCTTTTACAGAGTTGTTCGTAGAGGATTAGAGGTTTTTTAGTCACAATCTCTTTGTATAAAACACTGCTTATTTTCTATCTTTTTCTTTAATATGTACTTAGAAGCATTTTTCATCTTTGGAAAGGATAAAAATGCATTCCATTTCATTTTCATGCATGAAAGATAAAGAAATAAAGTCTAAAGAATTTTTTGACTGCAAGCCTGCATTGTGACTGATTTCTCTCAGTGACTATAACAGTGCCTTAATGAATGATTACTAAATCAAAGAATGATAGATGATATGCTCAACTCATGAATTTCATGGGAAACTAGGTATTAATAAATTTAAAATTGGGTTGGATGGAAATTTATACTTTTAGAAAGATTTTTTAAAAACTTATTTAAACCTTGTTAGCACTAAAACAAGGTGCTTTGAATATTTTACTTCTGGCAAGCCCTGGCCTTGCTCTTATTGGTGCAGTGCCCTTTTGTCCTTTTATGCATATGCATAAACTTGCTCAGAGACTTAAGTAACTTGAACAAAACCAGGTAACTAGTAAGTGCCACATTTAGGGAGCTGACTCTATTCTTACAGATTCTAAAAAATCAATGCTCTTTTTCCATGTAAGGGTGGCAGATGCATGCTGTGAGTTCCAAATCTCTCCTCTGTTTAATTATGATAATTTTCCCAGGGAGACAGATGTGGCCTCATAGTACTAGCATATGAATTATGTGTCCATCTCTAGGCATCATCATCTTTATTGCAGTCTGTGAATGGTAATCCCTCTAGTTGTACAGTGCAAAGACTATGTAACTTTACGTGCTAGTTTTGTTTTCATGTTGTTACTTCCATAATTGTGTATAAATTGTATATAAATTATTCCTTCAATTTAAATTCAGGCAAATAACAGATCCAGTGACTGTCACATAGTGTACTGTTTATAATTCCCATGATACATTAAATTTATAAAGACACACAGATAGTATTTGACTGGAAAATCTTTATAAGTGCAATCAAAATTATCGTAACATTTGGTTAGGTCACAGCTGTCATTAGACACTCTGTTTGCATTTTTCAAAAGGATAAATGGAAATATCAATTGAAAGTATTGCGTAAAGTTGATGAAGGAAGTGGGGAGTTAGTGGATGAAAGAGGCAGCTGGACTGTTTCTGATGTGAACATTTCTGAGTTAGCACTGGCCTTTGCTTTTAGAACCCAGCAACCTGGAAGCTAATTGTACCTTAATGATCAAGGATGCATATATATATTTTGCCTTTAAAACATGTTATGAAAACTTCTGTGTAAAGTAGGCTATGTCTAGCTGGCATTTTAACAAATTTTATGCAAAACTTTCTGTATTCCTAAGGACGCGCCACTAAGTCTTACTGCAGCTGTTTAATAAATCTATTGTCCTTTTTGAATTGTGAAATCGCTTTTAAAAGAGCTCACTGGAAAATGAAAAATTCTCAAATGAGCATTGCTTTTATAACTCAGTTTTTCTTTTTCTTTTGGGTAGTTATAATAAATTCAAAATTGGTATCAGTGTTAAGGATGCTGAAGCCAGATGTGATTGTGAGGTTAATTTTTAAAGGTCATTTTCAAGTCCTACTTCAGTGGCTAACTAAAAATAACTTCTCAAAACAACATCACTGTTGCCACTTAATTATACCTCGACATTTAATCTTAAAGCTTTAAAAATATCAATAAGAGACTACATGGGTAATCATCTATTCTGCTTGATGAATTTCTTTCCCTATTGGTATTAAGTGGAAGTAATTATTTAAAAAGACTCTTTACTCAGGGATTTTGGTGAGTCTATTGTTTAATGTTTTCCTTCATGATCTTGAATATTGAACATAATTTGGACAAATGAGAATACTGTCTTTTAAATTTTTTTTTCACACACAGGGTGTCATGCAAGATGTTCAGTTACTTGTCATGCCTCAAGGATTTATTGCTCAGTGCCCAGATCTTAATCGCAGTAAGTCTATTACTTCTTGCACTGTGTGATGTGATAAAAAGTGTGCTTCTTACTTAATTTGTTCAGAATGTCAGGTTGAAATTGGAGTTCACATATAATGGTTTCAGCTTAAAGTTAACTATATGGAATCCCTTAGGAATACAACTTGACTAATGTCACGTTTGTATTTCCAGCCTGTCCAACTTGCAATGACTTCCATGGACTTGTGCAGAAAATCATGGAGCTGCAGGATATTTTAGCCAAAACATCAGCCAAGGTAAAAGCTACTGAGAATTATGGTGAAGGAGATTATTAAAAAAAATCCTTGAGGTTCCCAATAGTTCCTATTATGAAGGTAGATTTTCATCTTTGAGAGATTCCTTGTTATAATACACACATTTTGCTGTGACTGAATTTAAACCCTTGTTCAACAGAAAATCTTATAAATATTAAAACTGTAGCCATATATAAAACAAATGATTCAGTAAATCAGGAGGAATGAAGCAGATTATTTAGTTTATCCACTGCTAATGACAACAAGATATATTGTTTAGGTTAGTTTTACTATTATTTATTCCTATTTAGATTTTCATTACAAGCTAAGAAGCAGGAAGACTTTAAAGGATACAGGTACTATAATTGTATCATTTGATACTGTTGTAGGTTTAGTTACTATGTCTTGAGCATTTATCAAGTTTCCTGACAATTTCACCAAGTTTATCATTTTGCATTGTGGTTATGGATTACCTGAAGGATGTCATATCACTTATGATTTGTTATTTATGCAGTAAAAATTTTAAATTTTATTTTTCTCTTGAGTAAACATGTTTATGAAATTAAACATATGTTCAAATGCTTCTCTGTAATGTGGTTGAAACTATTTTTAACTAGCCTCCAATTTGTGCTTCATAAATTATGCTTTTTATTTTAAAGACAGGGAGCAAATTTTTCACAGAAGTCAGAAATGGAAATCCTTTCTTTAAAGGCTTACCTATGTTTATGACAAGTCATTGATGAGTACAGCCATGATTACTGCTCTACACTAAAACAATTAGATCCCTACTACAGCATTTTGCCTTTCTGTGTTGCTGGGATGGTGAACAATGTGCACCCATCTTTTGTGCCACAGCTGTCTCGAGCTGAACAGCGAATGAATAGACTAGATCAGTGCTATTGTGAGAGGACCTGCACCATGAAGGGAACCACCTACCGGGAATTCGAGTCCTGGACAGACGGCTGTAAGAACTGCACATGCCTGGTATGGCTTCCATTTGTGTTCAGACAAAGGGAACTCAGATGCCATTGCTCTTTAAAAATTTATTAAAACAATGTAATCATGAAAATTTGAAGACCTGTTTTCTCAAGATGCAACACTAAGTGCCAGCAAAACCTGGTCGCATCTAAAGAACTGTGTGTTGCATTATTAAAAACACTTTCTGGCTTGTAAGGATGATTATGGTTTAGAGATGCTATAAAGTTTAAGTTTATTGATATACACATGAAGTTAACAATTTAAATTAGGGTCCTTAAGGTGAGTCCCAAAGGATTCTCTCCTATAATTCTTATTATTCCCTGATGTTTTTATTAATGAATTTTAATGAAACTAAATTATGTACAGTATTAAATAGTGTCATATTGAACAATATAAAGAAATGTTTTCGTTTAAATGAATAAGAGCATTTTTAATAGTTTACTCCTAATGTTGAATACAAATTACAGAGTTTAAATAATATTTTTCTAATTACTAGTAAAGTAGAATAATTCATTGCATGATTATTCTAAAGCTGTATATTCATTTTCAAAGAAAACTTCAAAACGAGTTTGACTTTAGGCTTTAAATCCATATAAACAGTTAAAAAAACTGTTACTTTTTTCTGGAAAGAAGTTGGAATGAATTAAATTTGCCTTTCAAAAATTTCCCCATGTTTATCCAGGTTATTTAAAAGCAGAATGTTGTGTGTTAAGAACAATCAAGCTAGTAAGTAGTTAAAAAATAATTGTATGTGTATGTATTTTTTTATCAGCAGAATATATTCCTATCAGAATTGTAACACTACAAATACTGTAATGCTTTCTTAAAATCATTAAATCAGGACTGAAAATCTAGGCAAGTAAAATATAGAATGTAGTGTATTAAGGTCAGCAAAATGACTAGAAAAGACTGAGCAGCCAGCTTCCTGGGAGCTTGGGATGACCTTCAGGAATCAAATTCCCAGTGATTCTGTATGCAGTTTTGGAACTTCTTTAGCGATTGTCAGCGCTGCCTTGCCTTGTGTGGATAGCTTGTTCAAGCTTAAATGTCATCTGAAGATTCTGGGCCTTGAGATGAGACTTCCTGAGGTGTAGTACTCTCCTACAGGAGATAAGGACCGTAGCGCAGTTAGGATCAATTGCTGGAGAGAAGATGGAAACCAATCACCAACTGTGTCATAACTCAATTTGTATTACCATGGTGGTCTATATTATATGTATTGTGGTGTAAAGCTAAAGAAAATGGTGTTTTTTTATGTGAAGAGTTTGAAATTTAAAGAACAGATTTGAAAATCATTGAAGATTACCAATTTCCTACTTGGAAATTCTTTAAAAAATTGTTTGCTTTTTTAGAATGGAACCATCCAGTGTGAAACTCTGATCTGCCCAATCCCTGACTGCCCGCTTAAGTCAGCTCCTGCATACGTGGACGGCAAGTGCTGTAAGGAGTGCAGATGTGAGCATAAGTTTTATTAAGAATACTTTTTTTGACCAAAACTAAAACATTGTATTAATAAGTATGTAAACCCACTGGTTTAATCTGAACAAATTACATAGCTTTTAGAGAAGATGCAAATGGGAAGGATACTTTTTCTATTTTTGTTTTCCATTTTAAAATGCTATTCTTACATTCTGGTAGGACAGTTTGTTTGTTTGTTTCTAGGAAAAATGTTTTATGTATAGAAATGTTAGTAGGAAAGATTGTGAAAAAAGAACTTACTGAAAATTTTGCCTTTTATACTACTTAATGTAGCTCCTAAATAGAACAAGAATGTTCACACTGGGCCACATTAGCCAAGGAAATCCAAAATAAGTGACCCTTAACAACAGATGATGCACTCTTCTCTTACACAAATAATAGAACTCCACATTATTACGGGACTATTCTACATGTAGAAGAGCCATGGCTATATTTAGGGGGAAGAAAAAGACTCACACCAATGTGTGAGAAATCTGCTTTTTGGCACATTCATATACAGTTCATTTCTGGTGTTAGAAAATGTTTAGAATTATCTGTAGCTACTCACAAATAACACATTCAGTGACACAGATCAGTTCATCTATGTTACTTATAAGGAATTCATTGAAATTATTATTAGAGGGAACACTTAAAATATTTTGCTATTTTTGTTCAAAGGAGCAATATATGAACACTGAGTTGTTAGCATGTTGTAAAATATATAGTTATCCAAGTGCACATGTATTTGTATGTGTATAGTCATTGTCTTAGTTACTTTATGGTCGCCGCTGAGACAAAATACCTGATGCCCAAATTGGGAAAGGGAAGGTTTATCTCTTACAGTTTTTGGAGATTTCAGTCCACACTCAGTTGGCTCCAAGACAAGCGGGCATGGCTGGACTGCAGTTCATGCAGTCTGCCCACAGCGAACTCGAACCAGCAAAGAGAAAGACACACCTTCTTCCTGCCATTACATTACATCCTGGCTCCACCCCTATGTGGGTGGAGCACTGACACCATCAATCCAAGCACTATACAATGAACCATCACATGTGAACAATGCAAACTCATGAAGCCTGGGGGACACAAACATAAACCATGACAGTCATAAAGAAAGAGCCAAAAGAGGGGGTAGCCTATGATGGCACAGGAAAGAGAGGGAGCTAATGGCTGCTTCTGCTAGGGGTTTATGTTTGCTTTTTTTTTAAACTCTGCCACCCCTTATTCCTGCTTACACAGTATACTTTCCTACTGCTGGTGAGACTAACAAGTTATTGGAGAAGAATCAGGACACTGCTCTGTAGTTCATTGATTTAATTCCTCTGGAGCTCATTTATGTTTAATTATATTAGGCTTTACATTGAAGGCAGCCCATTTTATGAAATCATATTAGTCTAGTCAAGTAGATTTGGAGGAACTAAGAAAGATGGGATGGATTTGTTACACATCTCACTAGCTGATTTCCTTAGTGAGCAGTAATCTGAGTTTTGACTTGAATTTCTCTTAATATCATGAAGCTAAAGATTATACTGTATAGTTGTTTTTGTAGCTGTTTGTAGGTAAGAGGAAGGATTCTATATAAAATTTTATAATATAACAAGAGTAAGAATTGTATATTTTGTTTTAACTTCTTTTCTCCCATAATTCTATGTTATCAGTGAACATGACAGATTTGCATTAAGCGATGTCAATTTTGTTAGATACAGGCTGAGTGAAATAATGGACCATGGTAATGGCTGCATTAGTCAGAAGTGGTGAATTTCAGTTCTGATTTTACCATTTCCTCTGTTACAGCAGTAAACTGCCTATTAAATGATAGTAATACTGGAAATCTTTCCAACAAGCATGCATTTAGACTTAATGAAATGGTAAAATATTTTGAGATTCATTGAATGAAGAGTGTTTCTGCCAGACTTTGGTGTTAGTGATGGAAAATTGACTGTGTTTGCCTCATATATAAAATAGTAAAACTGGGAAAGCTAGAATTAATGAGTGAGCAGACCATAACATCACTGATTTAAAAAAAGCTAAAATAATTTATTTGGCTCTATCATTTTATGTGGCTAAAACATAATAAAGATAAAGTAGTTTTGTCTTTTTTGGTTATATTCAATGATATGTTGTAGAATATACAGGATTTATGTTTGTTACTTCTGATTTTAATGAATTTAGCATTTAGTAGAGCTACAGGATATTTCAGTAAACACTCATAAGTTTTTTATATAAGAAATACATACCTCATGTAGTAAGTATTTATGATAGATTATTTGAGGAGTCTTTCAAAGTATAATTTAAAAAGAAACAACTAACAATATTTTAGAAAACATGCTTTTGAAATCTTTTGTATGAGACAGATGGCATTTAAAGACAGTAACCCCTCCCTGGTTAGCTCTCTTAGCTTTCTATATCTGTGTTTACAGTGGGAGAAAACAATAGTTACGCAAATCCACCATATTTTTCTTAGTATGTATCTGTTACATACAAGGAAAAAGTAGTCTTAATTTTTTGTTTGTTAGTTTTGTTAGTGGCATCAATTTATAATTTAGGAGAGCTTAATTTTGTTAGAATAGAAGTTAACTTCTAAGGTGTTTTACTCTTTTAAATACATGAACACACTCATACCCTGCATTAGTTCTGTCTTCAAAACCCTTTTGATCAATGGCCTTTCTATTGACGTATTTTAATAAAATATATCCCTCAGTGAAAACTATTTAAAGAAATTAATCATTCATTGTTTCTAAGGTCCCTAGAGGGTAAAACACATTCCTGAACTGCTCAGTGTTCCTCTACCAAACTGAAGCAAGCAAAACAAATCTATGCAGCTGGTAACTTTTTGGTGTTCTTCATTCAATTCTTTTAGGCTTGTTTTGTCAGAATTATTTGGGCAGTTCTGAGCAGTCCTATTTTGTAGTTCCCTTTTTATTTTCTCTCAGTAACTTCATCTGGAGCCCTTCATGTCAGTATAAATACTGAGGAATAGCAAGAAGTTTGTTGTTCTGGGAAAGAAGTCATAGAGAACAATGCTTGTCCCAATCTTTATTTGAATATACATAAACAGTAGTGAGAAGAAAAGTTTAACTTTCTACCATTTAGCTGCTGACATGCAGTTAAACTAAAAGGATAAAATTCAAAGTCAAGAATGCAAATACCAAATCTTTAATAATAAGCACAACTACAGCAAAGTCATATCACTTCTGCAGGTGAGAAGGCACATTGCTTTGGCTTTCATTTGGTCTTTACAACTTTTTAGGTAGACATTGTCTCCATCTTCCTAATAAGAGAACTCTATGATTGGTCCAGGGGCATATTAGAGTTCCACAGAAGTTCCATCTGGAAGTGTGGTACTTTCTAGTCTATTTCCTTCTTTAAACTATGTATTAGAATTACTCTTGGTGGTCCAGTCTTCTTAGTGGGTAGCTAAGGTCACCAAAGGTGATGTGTAGTTCTAGATGAGTCTAGGCAGAATTATGAAGTAAACTGAGTTTGTTTTTGTCATTCTCCAGTCAAGCCCTACTGCCTCTGTCCTGTACCTAAGTCTTGGATTCTCAGCCAGCACAGTGAGATGCAATGTCCAAAATTCAACATAGTCCTACAAAATACAAAGTATAAATATTTTGGGTGCATTTAGTCCTGAAATAGGGTGGGGTCAAGATAATCACAGTATATAAAATTTCAGATTAAAACACATAAAATTTTTTGGAAAATACTTGTGTTCTATGAAATAGAAAGTTATTGAAAGAAACAGACACTAGAAAACATTTTAAAGCATTCAGTGCTTTCCTTTATTTTCTTTCAGTGGATTGTAAATTCAGGCTTATACACAGAACTCAGTTTCACAGAAAGAGTGTTTCAGGAAAATAGGGAATTTTAAGAGAATCTTATAGAAGACAATGCAGGAAGAGGAAGAAGAGGAAGAGGAGGAGGAGGAGGAGGAGGAGGAGGAGGAGGAGGAGGAGGAGACATTTATTCTCCATTACTATAGGAGAAATACAAGGAATGTGAATGTGAGCATCCTAATTGGTTGATGCTTGCCTGGTAGTAATAATTTAAGTGGCATTTTTTCAGAGACTGGCTTTGAATAAATTAAAATCATTCTTTTGACTGAACAACATCAGTTTCAGCGCATAATATAGATTACATTGTAATATGCTTTGTGGGGATTAGACATCAGATTATTATTCTTTATTTATTTATTTGTTACCAGGGATTGAACTCAGGACCTCATGCTCACCAAGCAGGTGCTTATGCCACTGAGCCAAATCTGCAGCCGACATCAGATTATTTTAAACTTTTTAAAAAAGTCTTCTCCACTTAGATTAAATGGATGTAGGGTTAGTAATGTGTTCATGTACTGAGTAGTTATGTCTCTAGACTGGAAGTCAAGTTTTGGGGGTTTGAATTGTGGATCTCTATAACTTACTAGCTGGGCATCTTTGGTCAAATCACTTAACATCTCACAGTTTCTGTTTCATTTTTTTTTTTGTCTTTTTCTTTTTTTATTGGTACCGGGGATCGAACTCACAACCACACACTTGCAAGGCAGGTGCTTATGCTGCTGAGCTAAAATCCCCAGCCCCTGTTTCATTTATTATGTGGAGATAATAATTGTACTTTTTACAGTTTGGGTGAAGATTAAATAAATATAGATAAAGATTTAGAAAAATGTTAGCTTTTATTGTTTTTATTCAAAGGGACATTCATGTTTATTGATAAAATACAGTGTAGTTAAATAATTTCATTGGGTCATAGGTCTTTATTTTTATCAGTGCATGTTTACAGTATGTATTACTTACATTTTGTGTGTGAAGTTGGGACTGTAATTCAGTTTTTCACCCCCTTTACTCCTCCCCTTCATCTCTTGATCTCATTCCCATTTAAGAAACATCTACTACCCTATTTCTTATTATCTATCTTTTATTTTGCTATTAATTTATAATTTGGATTTCTCATATAAGAGAAACCATGCAATATTAAAACTTGTTTTTTATTTATTTTAT